TCCTATCAATTTTTATTTAGTAATTTATTTATAAATATTTATTTCATTTATATAGTTTTTTTAAATCAAGTAATATTGACATTTGCTATGATAGTTCAATGATTTAAGATTTTATTTAAATTTATATAGAAATTGTTGTTTCTTCAACTCACATAATTATTTCAAACTTTTCTTTTATTTCATATTTTATTATTAATTGTTGGGACGTTATTCGCTGAAAAACTTATTGTTGGTCTCAGATACTTTAGCTAATGTTGATTGTCCTGCCAAACCTTGAGGACTTTTAGACACGTTGGTGGAGAATTGACTAAAATTCCTCTCCTTGATGTAATTATAAATGCCTATGTACTTTATTTTTGAAAAAGTATAATTAGGTGCTCCACATAAACTATAGTTAAAGTTTTATTTTGATATATATTTTCTGATGTCTGGAAGTAGCTAAGCTCCTGATTGATATGATATTTTGTGAACATTTTTGCATCGTAAATTTTTCAAGAAATCCTATTTATAGAGGAGGTTCTGTCAAAATTTTTACAAAAATGCTAAAACTTTTATTAAAATGATGAATTTCAAGTTTGTTAAAATGTCATAATAAATCTAATTACATTTTGGATATGTGATGTGGTTCACACCCGTGCCAGTCATCTCCTATTTTTGGGACATGACATAAAGCATTCAAGAAAATTTATCACATGTTTCACATGCAAACTTGGAGTGCAAGATTGAATCTTTGACTAGTCAAACAAGTATTGATTATTAGATTAGTTTTATTAGCTATTAGTTTCCTCTTTTCATTTAGGCATTTATTTCTAATATCATTTAGTGTTTTCCTTAATTTTTGGGATTGCAAACTTGCAATTTAAGTTATTATATTTTAGTTAGGATCTTAGAAGGTGTCATCATTTAAGAAAGTTTCTATATTTAATTTCCATTGTAATTTTGGTCAACTTTTTTTTTTTTTGGCCATAGGCGGCACCATCCACCTCCTTTCTTTTAGGGTTAAGGTTTTCATTTAGTTGCTTATATATATACCTTATGTAATTGGTTTTAAGAACAAGTTTAATACAAGTTTTGAATTATTCACATATTGTGAGAGCTTTTCTTGTACCTTCTGAGTCCTTGAGAAGATTGGAATTATTAAAGGATTGGTCTTCCTTTATGGGTGCCTGTGGAGTTAAGGGTCAAGAGCTAGGTGCCTCTTGGGTTCTAAATCCTAGACCATTGGAGAAAGGGTGAAGAGATAAGTTCCTCTTGGATCAACTATCCAAACCTATTTTGTTTGATTTCATTTCTTCTAGTTTTTCACTTCTACTCTGTTCTTTATTCTTGACAACTATGCTATGATCCATTGGAATTCAGAGGGTTTACTTTTAAGTGCAAGTAGGGATTTCCACATCACTCTCCTTTTCAAATTTCTCACTTTTTAACATTTGGTAACCCTACTTTACTTTGGACATGAATTTAAGGCTAAAAACACAACATAAAGTACTCATTAGATTTGGTTTTCTTTTTCCTTCCCCTCCCCTATTTATTTTAGAAGAATTGTACTATGACATTAAGCCTTTCTGTAGGGATGAATGTAAGGGCACAAGGGGTACTCTACCTCCCTTTGGCAAGTTTTGAAATTTTTTTATTTTGCTTATAAAAAATGAAAAATTAGTGTTAGCCCCTATGTTTTAAGTAGTTTTTAATTTTTCCAGCTCATGTATATTTTTCGATTCATCCCTACGTGTTTGTTGCACAATAGTGGCTAGTTTATGTTAGTTGATGTATTTGGGATCCGCATTCGATATTCATCATTGCTCATCACCTAAAAGGTGATCTGAATGCTTCATTTCCTCCCTCAAATGATCTCTGCTATTGATTTTAAATTATTTCTCAAAATATTTTTAACATTATGTTTATCAAAATAAAAATATATAAAAATTATAAAAAAATATAATTTGTAAAAATTATAAAAAAATTAATGTTAAATTGGATCATCTATGATTGAATGTGTACTGGCTAGATTAATGATAAATTGTTTTATTAAAAATTTCTATATTTTTATATGATTTTAATTAACTAAATATAAAATAAAAAGCTTAAATTTGGACTATCCAGATTTCATCAAAATTATGACTATCATAGCATCCATCCTCTAATAAGCATAAAAAATAGTTTAAATTTAATATTAATTTTTTTATAATTTTTACATATTTTCATTTTGATAAATATAATATTAAAAATATGTTAAAAAATTTAAAATCAAAGGCTGGGATTATTTGAGGTAAAAAATGAAAGGTCCAAATCACGGCCCGTTTATTTAAAAGGAAAAAAAAAAGGAAAAGAAAATAGTATTGGGAGGATGACAAGGTGATCCCAAAAGGATTAATTATTTTAAGTTAGGTTTCAAGTGTCAAACTTTAAAAATATACAACTCAATCTCTTAATTTTGCAATTACATTGTAATGAATTTACAACTTATTTTTTAAATTTTAACATGATTGAAGAATAAAAAATTTATTTTTTTGTTAAAATTCATCACAATAGAATTGCAAATTCATCATAATAAAATTGCAAATTCTTGAAATTTAATATTTAAAACCTACGCCTCTAGTCCTATTTATAAGTCACTTTTAACATATTTCACCTATACCAAGAAAATCTTAAAACTCATCAACTCTGTCTTAAAATTTAATAAGTTCTCAATTTTATCCTTATTAAATACACACTTAAATAACAAATTTTTTCTCTCTAACATTCAATGGAGTGTAAAAAAATTTATGATAAAAAATTAATAAATTAATTTATAAATAAGATTAAATTTTTTTTTCTATCTTATAAATAAAATTAAAAAAAGTTACTTAAATTAGTTAATTTTTTTGAAATCTTTTTGTCATTCTTCCAAAACTGTTTGGGATACAATGCACTGCATCAGCGTATTAGTCTCCTATTGATCTCCAATCTCCACGTGGCCTTCTCTCGAAAAGCAAGATCTCCAATCTCCACGTGGCCTTCTCTCGAAAAGCAAGACGAAGGAGACCATGTTCGTTTCGGACTTTCAGCGTCCACTCCGCGTAGGGCCGTGAATTCCAATATAGTGACCTTATCCAAACCTAATTCCCCATTCTCTTCTTTGGCGTGACGTGCTGATTCCCAATAACATGTGCCTTTAATTAATTAACTACATATAGAATATATATATATATATATATATATATAATATATCAGTTTATTTGTAAAAAAAATATAAATCGGGTTTTAAACATCAAAATGCACTCCCATTTGATTCAAATTTTCAAAATGTCTCGATTTGTTATATTTATTTTAATAGCATTGTTCTCATAAGTTCTGAGATATTCCGACTTCACTCTGTGCAATTAGTACTATTTCACTCAAATTTATTAATAATTAAATTAATATATTATAATTTTTCATTAAGTTTAGATTCAGCAAATGCATGGAGAAGATCTGGTTTTAATTAAATCTACCTTTCGCCCCAAAAGAAAAAAAGAAGTCCACTAATGTGCAATTTAATTTTTACAGAAAAACTAAAACTTTGTCTTATATTACATTTCGGTTTAATTTTTCACTTTTTATTAAATTCAGATTCCGAAAATCTTAAGAGAAGATCTGGTTTTAATTAAATCTACTTCTTTCCCTAAAAAAAATTGTTCCCTAATGTGAAATTAATTTATGACAAAATAATTAAATTACTAAACTAAAAATATAAAACTATATTAAATAATAATACTTCATTCGTTTCAAATTATAAGACAACATTAAAGAATTTTTTTTTGTGTTGCAGTATTTTTAATCATAACTTGAACATCAAAGAAATTTTGTTATTCCAAAATATAACACAATTTAAGAAAATAAAATATTATTAATGATGCTCTTTTAATATTACTTGTCCCAAAGAGAATCAATATGATTGTAGATTTAAAATTATATTAAATAAAGATATTTTTAATTGAAGGGCTCTTAATTCAACTAGTTGAGAGAATTGGATTAACTTATCTCAAGATCTCAAGTTAAAATTTTGAAATATAGAATATTATTAAATAAATATGTTAAAGACATTTTTAAGATACTTATAAGACGAGAGGTAGTAATATTCCTGAATTTTTTAGGACAGTAAGTAATGGAATAAAAATAAATAAAAATATTTTTAAAACCTTATATCTTTATTTTAAAAATATAAATTTGTAAAGTGTCATTGAGCTTTGTTCGATATCACCTTGGTTTTACTTTTGAATCCCCTCCTATTGGAACTGACAACTTTGAAGCAATGATTGTTGTTCATTGACCAGCAAGTCGCAGGTCTTCAAGTCTTTGCCGATCCAAGTCTTTTGGCATATAAAATTTTATTTTAAATTATCTTATAATTTAAGATAAGAAGTATGATTTTAATAAAAATAAATTAATATTTTAACAATATTTATTAAATTTTACTTTAATAAAATTTTAAAGTACCAAGCGTGTTTAAAAGAACAATTTAGAGATATATTAATATCAAAAAATATAATCACAGTCTTATATATTATTGTGTATCACATACTACATCAGCATAAAATAATAAAGTTATAATGTGACTAACAAAAAAAATTTTTTGTTCACCTAAAAAATGATTTAAAAAATTATTTTATTTATCAATATAATAAGCCTAATATTTCTTTAAAAAAAATTAAAAGGGGAAAATCAACCTCAACCCCTAGATAAAATAAATAAGAAAGACTTTAGAGCTGTCCAAGCCTCCGAGTAGGTAAAGAATTACTTAATTGCTAAGCCAAGTATTTCCTCATTTATTCCCTCCCCTGGATTATATTTCCCCTCTTCCACCTACCCTATTTACCCTCTCATCCGGCGAGATTCAAACGTTGAGAATAGGGGTAAATTTGGAATTCAAGATAAAAATACAAAACAAACAAACAAACAAACAAATGCAAACTAGTTGAGGTTATACGTTTCGAACGACCAGAGCATATTCCTGTAATTATCTCATCGAACCAGGGGCCAAGGCAAACCAGACAATGCCCATCTTGTCCCTCATCACTGACTGACCTATAAATCCCGAATCACACGGCTGATTTCTCGCATCCTATCTCCAGATCTTCGTTCACAAATATCCATGGCTTCTCGCTACGAGGTAGAAGTGAAGCTTGAATCTGCCAAGAACCTCAAGAATGTGAACTGGCGCTACGGCCCCAATCGTCCATACGCCGTCGTTTGGGTTGACCCCAAGAACAAGTGCTCCACCAGGATCGACGAATCCGGCGACACCGAAGCCTTCTGGGATGAGACGCTCCGTATCCCCTTACCTCCCGGCCCCATCGAGGACTTCACCCTCTTCATCGACGTCGTCCACGCCGGCTCCGAGGAGGACACCAAGCCGCTCATCGGCTCCGCTAAGCTTAAGCTCAACGACGTCCTTCAAGACGTCGGCATCGGCGATCGTGCCACCCACAATTTGACCCTCAAGCGACCATCGGGGAGGCCGCAAGGTAAGGTGGAGGTTGGTGTTTCTATCAGAGAAATAGGCTACCGTGCGCCTGGCCCGTATAACGCTCCGCCTTACGGCGTCCAATCGTCATCGGGATCACGTGATTACTCCGGGGCGCCGCCGGCGTATGGTTATCCATACGGCGCGCCTCCGCCATCGCATGATCCGTACTATTCAACGGCGCCGCCTACAGGGTACCCGTACAGTGGTTACAATGCGCCGCCGCCGCCAATGGCCTACGGACAGCCGAGCTACGGTTATGGTCAGGGGAGTCAGCCGGCGTACGCAGGGGAGGAGAAGAAGAAGAGCAAGTTTGGTGGGATGGGAACGGGATTGGCTGTGGGCGCAGTGGGTGGTATGTTGGGTGGACTCGCACTGGCAGAAGGTTTTGATGCTTTGGAGGATCATGTTGCAGATGAAGCTGCAGAGAAAGTGGAAGATGATCTGGGTTACGATGAGGGCGGAGACGACTTCTAGAAGAAAACGTATATCGTTCGACTTTACTGTTACATCGCTATTTGGAATGTTTTTAACTTTTTATCTCAATTATGTGTATTCTGTCTGAAAAATCCGAAAGATGTATTCGGATTCCTGCGGAATTTTATTAGATAAATCGCGTTGGAAAAAAGAAAAGAAACGGAAAAAGAACCCTAAACCCTAATTTAGTTTTTGTATTTGGGTTGATCTGAGTTTCTTTTTGGGCGTATGAGTTGGATTTGTCTCTGTTGCTCGCAGTGTCTTTTTTTATTTTATTTTGAACCATGGTCCATTTTCTTGGCCCACGAACCATGGGCATTTGTTTAAACTAGATTAGTCGCGATTCGCAAATAATTTTAAATTTTAAGATGTTATGAGATTTTGACCGGATTGATGAGTTTTATTGGACGCCTGATGATAAATTGATGATATTATTCTAGTCTGAGAGCCCGTTTAAATTTTAATTAAGTATAATTAATTATAAAAGTAATACATTAAATGATTAATTTTAATTATAATTAATTATATTATAATATAATTTATTTAAAATTTTTTTTAAATTAATTTTAAGAGAATTGAAAATATTTAAATAATTTAGTTAAAATTAATTTTAGCTGTGTAAACTATAATAAAAAATATTACTTTTTAAAATTAAATTATTAATAAATTTGTATATAATATTATTAAATTTGTTAAATTTTATTTAAGAAGTAAAATATATTATTTAAATTACATATATGATTAATTAAAAAAATTAAATTATATTAATATGAACATTTAAATTTATGTAAATAAATAACTCAATACATCTTAATTAAAATAAATTTAATAAAAAAAATTTAATTTTTAAATATTAAATATTAATTTTACAATAACTAATGAAAATAATAATATATAAATTGATTCTTAATAATATAAAAAATATGAGTCATAGCTGATGAAGAAGATGATCAAATCAGCCAAAATCAAAAAAATCAATGGTCAAACCACTATAAGTAAAGGGAAATTTTTAATAAAGGACATTTCACCATATTTAATTATATTCAAAAATTTTAAATTTTTAAAATTTCATTGCAATTTAAAAGTATTAATTTGATATTAAATTTATGAAAGAAATGACAAAACTATCCCTCCTTTAAATTAATACCACAACTTTCTTATTTCATTTATTAATTGCTCTACTTTACTTGTTTATTTACTTACGAAATATTGTTAATTGCCCTATTTAACTTGTTTAGTTCCCTCAAATAAAATCAAGTGAAAGTCTGACAATGAACAAATAAAATAAAGTAATAAACAAGTGAATTAGAAAAATTAATAATAGTCCGTAAATAAATTTACAACATACTATGAATTAACAAGTTGTATTAAATGATTTAAACATCTAAAATGAAAACAAATAAAATAAGGTAATTAATAACATTCGGTAGATAAATAAGCAACTAAAGTAAGACAATTAATAAGTGAAGTGTGAAAGTCATGATAACTTCTAATATTAATTTAAATGAAGGTATTTTTATCATTTTTTTCTCATAAATTTAACATGAAATCAATACCTTGAATTGTAGTAAAATTTTAAAAATTTATAAGCTTTGCATGTAATTAAATATGGTCAAGAATCTTTTATTAAAATTCTCCCATACAAAAAAGCATTGGGCAAGAACGATCATCAAAGAGGAAGATCTAGAATGAGAAGAACAAGAAGGTTGTCATGTTGATGGTAGAAGCTAGTGTTTATCCTGGATGAGTAAACCCAAACTTATAAAAAGAGTCAAACAACCAAGAATAATTCTAATACTTTCGAATTTTGAGATTATTTAGATTCACTTGTTTACAAATTTAAAAATTTCAATTATAGTTATTATATTTAAATTTTAAATATAATAATTAATCTATTTATAACTGTTTGAGTTAATATTTATAACTCATTTTTTGCAAATTTTATCAGAAACTTAACTATTATTAATTTATTTTTTAGAATTTATTGTTATTCTCTCTTTTTTTCCTCTTCTTTGTTTAAAAAAAATCAATTTTTAATTTAAAATTAATTATTTTTATTATTATAAAAAATGCAATAAAAATGTAACAATATTAATATTTTTAATTTTTTAAAAATATTTAAAATAATTTACTTAAATATTTAATTTTTAAGAATAAAATGAATTAAAATTTAAAAGATTATTAATATTTTATATATGTTTTGAAAAATTAAAGTATTATTCTGATATTCAAAGCCCAAATAAGCGTGAACATAAAAATGTATCATTTTATAAAAAAACATAACTTTAGTTATATATATTTTGTTTGAATTTTATTATAAGTCTCTATATTTTTTCTTTTTAGTGTTTCAGGTCTATGTATTTTTCTCCATTTGCATCTTAAGTCTCTACACTATTAAATGGATATTGATATGGCACTAACAGCATTAATTATGCTAATGTGGACTTTAAGACCATTAATTATGGAGTGATATGTCATTTAATTGTTGATGTGTATTTTTTTAATAACTTGAAATAAGGGGGTTCTAGATCGTTTTGTTCTGCTTCTTTTTTTTTTTTTTTTGTGCCCTAGGAAATAAGTGGGTTTCAAATAACTTTGTTTTGCTCGTTTTGTTCGAACATGTGGCCTTTTTTATTGAAAAATATATATTAATAACTGAATAACATATCATCACATAATTAATGATATTAGAGTTTACATCAACATAATTATCATCAATAGTACCACATCAACATTTCTCCAAAAGTAAAGGTACAGGTTCAGATAGAGAAAAGTATAAGAACTTAGGATATTAAAAAAAAAAATATATGGAGACCTATAACAAAATTTAAGTAAAGTATAAAAATTTAAAAGTTATGTTTTTTCTCATTTTATTGAGCCAAGTCTTAATTTTTTTTTGGAGGCTAATCCAAGTAGATCCAAATTAACTGCAACGTCCCTGTTACAGTTCTAAACTCGACACAACGTTGCCAGCAGTTCATAGCTCTGACGCTATTTCGCCATTCGGTCGAGTTCCGTTCTTTCGTCTCCTCTCCGATGCTACTTCGCCGTTCTCCTCTCCACTATGAAGCTACTCCGCTTGCATCCTCCTTTGCCATGACCTCACGTCCTCACTCATGGTATGGTTTTTTTTTTTTTTAAAAAAAGAAATATATATATATATATATATATTATTTGTTAGATTATTTTTTTTTTCTTGAAAGTATATTTTAAAACTCTTATCGATGTTCTTCCTTACTGTGGGGGTCTTGGTCTCGTCCTTTAAATTCCCACATGACATAGGACTGTGGAGAGTGCCATGATTGCAGAAGCAAAATCTCGTGATTATATTGGGAAATAGACAGGAGGCTGGTTAAGATAGGAGATAGAATAGCATCTGGATCTTGGGGAGATTTTTATGTTGAGCTTTTGCCCTTTGAATCAATGATTTTTTATAGTTTTTGTTCATAGTTGTCTTGTCACTCCCCTGTTCTCCTAATTGGTTATATTGTTAATCCTTGGGCATCATGGAGTTTATCTTGGTCAAGATGTCGCCATTCAGATTTTGAGATCTGAGCATTTGAACGACGCTTTAAAGGATGAGTTCACTCAAGAAGTGGTAATTATTTGGTCAATATCACGCTACATTAGTGTATTATTCATGCATGGTGCATCATGATGTTTCACCAATAAATTTTGCTTTTGATTTCACTTTGTAAAATACTCTCTCTAATCATAATCTGGTCTACAATATTAGTCACTGGTTGATGGAGAATTTTCATCTCAAATTGAAATTTCCAAAAATATCTTTATTTACTTTAAATTTCTGACTCTCCTCCCCTCCATCATAGTCAATTATCTCATCATCTTCTTTTTCTCTTCATCAGTCGCCTCTCTTTCATTCCTCTTTCATTGTCGTCCATGAAAGTCTCATTGCTCAAGTTGTGGTTTGAAATGTTGCTAGATTCTCGCCATTCAAGTTCGATAGAAAAGGTTTTTAAGGTTTTATCATGAGAAACACTGATGAGATGTGTAGTTAACAATTATTTTAATGAGAAAGAAGATTTAGTCCTGTTTGACTTTTTTGGAGAGGCAACCTTTTAAGTAAAATTTATTTGCCTTGCATATTTGCTTAATTGCATTCATTGCTGCTGCTAAATCTAGTCTTAATTTTTTGAAAGTCCTCACGGCTCATATAAGATGAGTTTCAACGGGTACATAAAGATTAAAAAAATTATAGTAGATGTTCTTATTGTTTCTTTCTTCATTCATTGCAATATGTTAATCTTCACCTTAACTGTTATTTAAATAGATATTCTCACATATGGAAGGATCATTTTAAGTCCAAAGAAATATTGTTGCCTAACTCCATTTGTCCATTTAGTACTTCATTGTCCCCACTGTTCCCACCGTCTTCTCATTCTCTCACATGACTAGAGCATTTTAAATTAAAGGAGAAGGAGCTTTTTTCTATGCTGGAAGACCGAAGACACATTGGCGGTGGACCTTTCGTGTGTCTTTGTTTTGTTTTTTCTATCTGCAATTGACTCTTTTTTAATGGGATGTAGGTTTCATAAAATTCACCTCCCGCCAACTCATTTCATCCCTTGCCAATAATTTACAAGAAAAATGAGAGAGCAGGTTTTTCCATATCTGTAAAGAGTGAAAGAGAAACACAAGAAAAATAACATTATATAGATTTATTGCACTTTTTACTTTTTATTTAAAGATTATTTTAAAAATTTCATTTATTTTTATTCTTTATTCTTTTATTATACTGATATTAATGAAATTGATAAAAATAACTTATAAATAAGATGGAAATTGATGAATGAATAATGACAGGGCTTTGCCTTATTTTACCCAAAAAAAAAAAAGATGGGGAAAATATTATTTATTTTCTATTGGTGATAGTGCATCATAATTTATTTACTTTGAACATATATTAATATTTAAATTCAAAAAAGGAAGAAATTATTATATCAACATTGAATCATACCAATCATATTTCACACACTACTACCAAAATTAATCATTTAATCATTATAGTTTGGATATAATTATAATTCTATTTTTAAATTTTAACTCATTATAATTTAATCATTTTAATTTTAATTTAGTTATAATTCAGTCTATACAGTTGAACAGGTATGTTGGCTATTAATTGTTCCCAACTTCATTTGGCATATTTGTACTAATACATGTGGCTCTGTTAGTAGTCTGGTCTCATGGTCTCTCCCAGGTACAAAT